CAGAGGTTCATTACGGCGATAGCCGATACAAGGCGCCGGGAACAGTTTGTAGCTATAAATGAGGCCAAATTCCTTTCTGTGATAAGTGACGGATCCACATATTTCTCATCAAAGTAGGCCGAAATTTTATTTTCGAATTAAAATGTTATTTAATTTAAATTTTAATCTTATGATCCATATCAAAGTTACATGTATTTTATACAATTGAATGTCTTTTACAAAACCTTTCTGGGGGACACCCCTTGTACCTTGGGAGAGACCCCCTGTACCCCCTAGCAGAAGGGGGGCTCCACCCTCCTACCCCACCTACCTCCCCCCCCCCGCAAATCACAATGCTCGTCGCTTTGCGCCTAGTAAGAGTCCTTCGGCAGGACTAGTAGAATCTTGGAAGGACTAGTACATTTTTTCTTTTACTAGTCCTGTGGACTAGTGAACTAAAATGGTTAGTGTCTAACCCTGGTATCCATCACAGACGATGGATATGTTGTTCAGGTTTAAGTGTGGTTTTTGAAATGTAACATTTAACATTCAGAAAAAAGTTAAATATCAAAAGTATGAACACTTCAAAACAGCTGCGGTTGTAAGTAGCGCACAGTGCATGTTGGAGTGGCTCACAGCACACTCCAAGATAGCGTGCTAATGACATCACCAAGAGTAATGCGACGACAACAACGCTCACGTCGACTTGAAGTGACTTCTCGCTGTACATCGCCGATCAGATCGTAGCGTTCTACAGGAAACGTAGAAGGGTTTGCGGCCCCAGTATTTGTACTAGCACAAGCAGTTCTTTACCACAAACAGAGCAAGCTTGACGCCGGGACCAGTCTACATAAAACGAGTCACATGACCAACAAAATGGTGCTTACCAGTAAACATCAGGTAACTTCGTAAATCTATCCTCAATTTTCTGAAAATCGTTATAATCATGTGCAGAAAAAGAATTGAAAAAATTGCCTGTGATATATGGAAAACTTAATATATATTTGAGAAAAGGTTTGTGCAATAATCCCTCCTTGTAAATTGCTGTGTAGGCTGCCATTTTGTTAATCATGTGACTCGACACGTAGCGGTGATTGGCTGCCACTCACGATTTGTCGCCGACCGCCGCATAGAAATAGAACCGTTTCTATTCCTGCGATCGCAGTCGGCGACCGTATTTTTGATCGTAAGAGAACTCATGAGTCATGTCGAGTTTAGTCGCTGATGTTTTTATCGGCGATCTGGCCGGTTTTTGATGTACGATCTTCAAATTTTGTCGGCGACCTGAGTTAGCCTTAATGCTATCTCAGTATCATTGATACACACACTGAATGGGACAATTTCTCCGTTCCTCCTAATTTGCCCTCATTGACTCTGCCGCCTAGATCCATCGCATCAACCCAAGACCTGCCCACTGAACTGGCTAGTATCTAAGACAAGTAAACTGTAAAGTAAAGCCTAAAGACGTGGATATTCGTCCGAGCATCGGACACCTGTTCGTATGCGCTATTCGTCCGAGCAGTTGTTGCGCACGCGCTGGTCATGTTGCATGCCGCAGGCGCACGGCACGAGCGCCGCACAATTAAATCTAGATGCTCTAAAATGCTATTTACCCTTTAGATTTTGATTATTTTATGCCCTAGGCTGGGGGCCCGCAGCGTTTTGCTACGGCAGCCCTACGGCTGTGACGCCCCTGCATACATGCGTTGCGTATGTGGTTATACACCATAGATAGTGTTTGGTACTATCACTCGCGTATATAGGCCTATACCGTATACGAAACCGAGCGTATAATAAGAGAACCGAGCCGGTTTATAGTTAGTGCTGGGGTTAGGATTAGGGTTAGGGTTAGAGAGTAGGCGTGTTTAGGGAGTAGGTGCTTCCCTAGACTAGCATTATATTACATTTATGTAATGCAACATGAACAGCGCATGCGAAACAACTGCTCGGACGAATAGCGCATACGAACAGGTGTCCGATGCTCGGACGAATATCCACGTCCAAAGGCAAAGGTAAAACTAAAAGTAAAAGGACATGATGATGATGTCGATGATCTTAGTCTTACCCGCATTGCTAATTATATTCTCATTCGAACCAACGGCGCTTTCCTGACAGAATTTACTACGATTATTACGAAATAAGAGGCCATCGAGTCATATTCCTGAATAGTAACGGAAATCAAACGCAACGAGGGCGCAACACATCGTAAAATAACAAAAACGAAAACAAAAACTTACACTGATCAATTCGATTTCTACGTTCGCATACGCTATACGCTGAGTTGTCCCGCCATCTATCGGTAGGAAACATGACAATAATTAATATTTTCCGATGTTGATTTTGTCGCCATGAAGTAATACCGCTTCAATAATGCATCAATCTATGCAGCCGGAAGGTTGTCCATGTTCTAGTTCTAGTGTAAGTTGTATTAGAACCCGCATTCAATTATACAACTGAGTTATCATGGAGCATTAAACTAATGAAGTTCTGTGGTGCTACTGTATATAAAAAACGGAAGAACATTCTTAATATGGCCGCGCCCACAGACTGCTGTAGTCTGAGTGATTTGCAAAGGAAATTAACCGCTTTGCAACAGAAATTAGACGAAAAGACGAAAGAATGTGATGATCTTAAGAGAGGAATAAAAACAGAAGTATGATATGTTGAATAAAATAGACCCGATAGGAAAATATACGCTGATATAATTATCTATTACTATTACTATTAGTATTAGTATTAGGGCGATGAAAGTTGATTTCATGGTTCTCGTCAGGCATTGTTGAGATTTTGATGAGGGATTTAGATCAACATTCATCTTTCATATACAAACCAATAGAACTTAGTGAGGGTATCACTATCAGGTCTTGTACATATGCAAAATAAGATTGAAAAATGTCATAACTTCTTTGTTGACAGTTTTTACTCAAATTTTTACTGTTTGTCTTCCATACATGTAGTAATGACTGTAGATTGTTGCTTTTTTGAGGCGGGAATTTCATATGGGGACTTTTTGATGCGGGAATTTCGTCAGCGATGAGTGTTGAACTTTTTTGGTGCAGGAGTAAAATTTGATGCGGGCGCTGACGAGAACCATGACATCAACTTTCATCGGCCTTAGTAATACTAATACTAATACTAATAGTAATACTAATAGTATTATTATTGCTGAGAGGGTCTATGTCCCCCAGGGTACTGCCGGAACGTACCCTGGGTACGGTCCGGTATACCTGAACGTACCCTGGTACTAAATACTACTATCTAATATGCCGGACTGTACCTCGCCTACTCCACTAACGACGAGTCTAGGGAGTCGCCTTTAGCCACTCCTCCCTAACCCTAACCCTAACCATATTTATTAGATAGTTACCAGGGTACGTTCCGGTATACCGGACCGGACCGTACCCTGGGTACGTTCCGGCAGTACCCTGGGGGACATAGACCCTATGAGCATTTTGCTGAGAAGCAGAACCAGGGCAGAAGCATAAACCAGAATAACTGTACAATATCCTTACTGAGTTACTCTCCAACTCACACTCACAGCACTGCCAGTGGCACTTGGAACGATTCAATAAAAAATATGGTAAATAAACACAAAATGTATTTACTACCAAAGTTTCTCTACTCTTTCGCTTATGCCGCTATTAAGTATTATTTCCGATAACTTCCTGTAAATGCCGTTCAGATGCTCCTCTGCAACACACAGGTACACTCGCTGCACGCACGCCGCTGTGCACAAACAACAAGATTAAAGAGAGTTTATTCTTGTTGTTTGTGCACAGCGGCGTGCGTTATACTTGTGTGTTGCAGGGGATAATTTGAACGGCATTTATAGGAAGTTATCAGCAATAATAGGCGAAAGAGAGTAGAGAAACATTAAGAATTTGGTAGTAAATAGATTTCATGTTTATTTACCATATTTTTAGCTCATCTGACATAGTCAGATGCAGCTTGTAGAATTGCATAATCGTCCGTCCGTCCGTCCGTCCGTGCGAGCGTCCGTCCGTCCGTGCGTCAACAGTTGGGCACAAATCTTAACCGCTCGACGTACGGTCACGATATTCGGCACATCGGGGGGGATCGTCAAAACGAGTTGGGATGTCGAAGCTGGGGGGTCAAAGGTCAAAGGTCAAGAGGTGTAAAATAATGGGGATCCTTCACTCCTTAACTTAAGGTATAGGGAGGAAATGCAGAAATGCGG